TGTCTTGGTGAGCTTTTGATATTGTCTTGTTTGCGATCTTCTTGCAAAACTCAGCGTGATGTAAAAGAGCCAATCAACGAGTCATGGTGCGAAAAGATGAAAGTGGCCGGTGCTTGTGCGTACTTTGCCATAAAAAAATTGCATATATGGGAGTAATGAGAAAAAAGTTTTGATTCGCCACCAGCTCAAAACTGTGCACAAGGCAGCTGTTTGTGCACTTTCCCACACTTCATCTTTACCTGGTGCATCAGCAACAACTGACACTAGGCTTGCTCTGGCGGGCCGTGTCTGTGGCTTTATCGCAGAAAATAACGTTCAGAATATCACTACCGCTGGTACATTTATTTAAATCATTTGCAGTTGATCGAAGTGCACTGTGCACTCAAACTTGATAGGGAAACCTTTTTCTTAAATATTGACGTGTCCACAAACAAATGTGGACAGAATTTTATCGTCCTTTTGCGATATTTTGACGAGGACAGAGCCTAAGTGTTGACGCTCCATATCGCCTCAAGTAAAGCTACTCTCACTAATATTCTGTCAAAAAGTTGACTCGTTGCTTGATCCACTTATATTTCATATCAAAATACACTGTATATCTTTGAAGAATTCATTTGAGCTGTATTCAATATACAATCTATTATACAATAATATATTGTAATTAAAAATATAACTTGGTCCTGCATATTACTGTGATTTACATGTGATAAATTTCCATGCAAAAATTTTCAGTCAAATCTTTTTTTTTTTTGCTTTAACCCCTGCTTTAAGGTTATGTAGTGTAACCACTCATGTGTCCATCGCCTCCCATTTTTAGATTGAATTGGAGTTTGCATCTGTCAATCTCGGAGAAACGCTCATCTCTGGAATTGACCAAGACTTAAACCGTTTCTTGAACTCTAGCCCTAAGTGTGCCATCCCGGGGCTGTCCAGTCTCCTCACAGCGTGATGTAAGTGATTCAAATAATGCACACATTTTGATTTGTATGTTTTTGGGTCAAACTTCCCAAGTGTAAATCTATTCTTGATTTTAAATCAGGGCCCAAAACATGGGCTTAATAAAAGTGAACCTTTACCTTTAAACTCATAAATGTTCCCCAAAATTGCAGTGTCGCGTTTTTGAACTATGAAATCTTGTACACATTCCATGCACTGCTGTAATGGGTAGCTTTTCAATGCTTTGATTACCCATTTCAACAAATGTTGACCTTTTTCCAATTAGTGACTCAACTTAGCAACTTTTGCTTCTGTTCAGAGATGTAATTGTAATTGTATTCTAATGCTGCGCATATTTTATACTTTTTGAATATGGAAATGGTTTTGGTTTCATTTATTTACATCTCCAAATCTTTTCCAATCATTACACTAATCTGCTTAGTAAAATAACTTAAGTCAAATTCAATCATTCCATGTTACATCCCCCACCTGGCCACCAACTTTTGTTTTTTCAATTTGACCTAATGTTTACCTCTTTCTAAAACTCAATCTGCAGAATTAATTTTTTATATCCAGGCATATGACTGGATTAGTCGACCTAAATGAATCAAATTTGCAGCAGCCGTTGATCATAAACCCAAGTTCTCTAAGTAAATGGTTGTCCTCAGTAATAGAAACTCTTAACTACCACCCATCTTTACAGTTGTGGGGGAAATTTCATCCATATTACATAATGCTTTTCAGTTTGAGGATTTATAATAATTGTTTCTTTCTTTCTAGGAGAACTCTTGACAACTCACTCTTTTAAGAGGGCCGTCTTTCTACTTGGACTTCCACATTTCTTCGGGGACGATTGTTCTTCATTTGTTAAAGCTGTAGAGGTAAGATTTCAACATCTACGTCTAAACTTTGATCTATATAATATTAACATGTATTTTTATTTGATCAAAGGGCATATCATAAAGGAATAGGCCACTGTTTTTACATACTGACATATGTTCTTACCTTAGACCAGCCATTCCCAAACTCAGTAACACCGAGGCCCCCTTAAAAATCTGACGGGTCTACGTGGCCCCCCAAAATAATAACCAAGAAGACAACATTAAGAATAGGCTCTTCTGGTTATTTTATTTTGGGGAAATAGCCTCTGCTACAAACATTGTAATACAAAAATGATTACAGTGGCTTATTCAAGTCAAATAATGAACACAAATATTTTAATATTACAAACAAAACATTATACATTTAACATTAAATAATTATATTATTTTTTAATTTTTTTTATGACCTCCCGCGGCCCCCCTGCAGTACCCTCGCGGCCCACCAGGGGGCCGCGGACCCCACTTTGGGAGACACTGCCTTAGACTATAGTTGATATGTACCTGTCTGGTCTTTGTCCATGCGCTCTGTCATGCAAACGGAGCACAAACGCAGCCTCTTCCACATTCTGTATATATAGTAACAAAATCAACTCCCGTTAAACTCTTCCACGTGTTCCCTATTTAAATACAGTTACGTGACGTGTTACACTACAATGTAGCATGTAAATTTTTTCAGTGGATAAAAAGGGGTACTATATTGTGAGGCGTAATAACACGAGGAGCACTACGTCCACGCACTAACTCCTACAGACTTCTCTCCTGCTCAGCTTGCTTCTATTGACGAAAGTCTGTGCTCCGTTTGCATGACAGAGCGCACGGACACAGACCAGACAGCTACATATCAACTAGTCTAAGGTACGAACATATGTCAGCTTTGTCTGAAGGTCCAGATCTATTTTAAGTTTGAATAAAAACTGCAGACTCTAAATTATGAAGAAAAAACAAACGTGCCCCTGGCTTGGCCTAAAGAGCCTCAATCGGCCCTCACAAGACACAGATGTGGGCATATTATTTTAAGCAATATTTGTAAAGGCATACGTACATGCATAATTAGTAATTTGCCTCCACCAAGTGAGCTCAGTTTGGGTTCAAACTCATGTTTGGACTTTTGTCCTTTTTTGATATGAATGCATACATTTGTAATTTTATGTTACAGACCGCTGATGATGAGAGAATAACAAAGAGATCAAAGTGGGTCCTACTTCTCCCTGTGGGTTTCCCTAGTTCTCCCCAAGGTTTCTCACTTTTTCCCACTGGGTTTTTTAAGAGTTTTTCCTTGTCGATGCAGGAGGGTCTTGTTGGACAGTTAGTGTCCAACAGAAAGGATTGGTGATGATCAGGACACTTTAGCATTCTACAACATGTATGGACATTTTCTTCTGTGTGTGTTCTATATTTTTCATGTGTTTTAACTGTTGATTCTCTGACCTGTGTTGGTGATTTCAATGGTTTTGTTAAGTCCTCTGAGATGACTTCTGTTGTGACCTAGGGCTATACAAGAATAAATTGTATTGTATTGTATTGTATTGTACTTCTGAAGAGGTCTGAATGTGTCCGTCGTGCTGAAAGAATCAGTGACTGACAGATCTTGGTGATATTCCCACAGCCATGGCAATGCTCATGGGGTTTACAGTTTGAACATGGACTATCCCAGAGAAATGAGGTACACGTTGGAACTCCTTCAGAAACAGAGGTGGACATTGTTCTTCACTAGTTCATGGTGTGAGGAAAATGTAACATCTTCTGACCCCTATAGTAGTTGTGATCACCCCTTTTTGATTTATGAAATGAATTGTGCCAACAAATCAAGAACATTCTCAGAAGCTCAGTTTAAATCTGGGGATAACACATTTTGTTAGATATTTTTCAAGAACACAACTTTTTCAGTTGTGAGAGTGAGGATGGTCCTTGTGTGTGAAAACAAGTTGCGTGGATTTTATTGTGGAGTTAAAATCGTTTTCTGAATGTGATATACCATTTAATTCTGGGGTAGATACAGCTGTCAGTCATAAATGTTTGGATAAAACAAAATATTTGATTAGAGATCCATTTAAAGCTATACTTGTTATAGCCCTAATTGGATGTAATTGAAAACTCACATTATTTAAAGGGTAATTTTATCCTTTTGTCTGAGTTTGAAATGAAACCAGGTGTATGTTTTAATGAGGGCTGATAACCAAGGGCCAGGGTTTAAAAAAAAGTATTGGGTTAGTTTTAAGTTTATTTTGAAGCTAAGGCTATTTTTAAGCTTAAAACATATATATTTACATTGTAAAAGTTTGGACTGAATTGTTCATTTAACTTATTGATTTTATGAGTTTGTTGAATAATCTTGAATAACATTCAGTTTGATTAAGTCTGTGGCAATAAAAATGGTCTTTCCAGCTAAATGTCTTGTAAATTGTTAATAGGGTAAAATGGATTGTGTAAAGTAACAAACCAGTAGGTAAAACGATTAAAGATAACCATTTGTTTTAACTTAAACATTCAATTCCAAATGTTGTACTAATGCTCTTGTGTTGGACAAACATTTCTGGACTTCAGCAGATTCCAAATAAAGACAATTAATTAAAAAATATTGACTGATGTATTGTTTTTTGTTGTTGTTTTTTTTTTACTTTGCAGTTGTTTGATCATTAGATTTGAAATACTTTCCTTCTCTGGCCTCTCGCTGGTCTCTTTCTGGTCTCTCTCATATCCCTCTCTGGTCTCTCTCATATCTCTCTCTGGTCTCTTTCATATATCTCTCTGGTCTCTCTCATATCTCTCTCTGGTCTCTCTCATATCTCTCTCTGGTCTCTCTCATATCTCTCTCTGGTCTCTTTCATATCTCTCTCTGGTCTCTCTCATATCTCTCTCTGGTCTCTCTCATATCTCTCTCATATCTCTCTCTGGTCTTTCTCATATCTCTCTCTGGTCTCTCTCATATCTCTCTCTGGTCTCTTTCATATCTCTCTCTGGTCTCTCTCTGGTCTCTCTCATATCTCTCTCTGGTCTCTTTCATATCTCTCTCTGGTCTCTCTCATATCTCTCTCTGGTCTCTCTCATATCTCTCTCTGGTCCCTCTCATATCTCTCTCTGGTCTCTCTCATATCTCTCTCTGGTCTCTTTCATATCTCTCTCTTATCTCTCGCTGGCTGAGTACATTAGTTAGTGTTCTCCCGTTGTCAGAGAGACCCTTACCTCCAGGAGCAGTACTTCGAGGACTTCTTGAACTTGAAGGCCGAGCGGGACAGCGTGTTGCGGGGCAGGGGTCTAGTGGGCGGTGAGTAGACGGAGCCGGTTGCCATGGTGTATCCGGGCGTGGCCGTGGAGAAGAGAGGGGTGGTGCCGGTGCCTGTCTTAAAGAGGAAGTGCCTGCAACAAAACACACAACGATACAAACTTTTAGGACACAAAACATATTTGACTTTACATTATATACAGTGGGGCATAAAAGTATTTAGTCAGCCACCAAGAGTGCAAGTTCTCCCACTTAAAAACATGACGGAGGCCTGTAATTTTAACTATAGGTAAACCTTAACTTTGAGAGACAGAATGAGGAAAAAAATCCAGAAAAATCACACAACCCTAACCCTGGTTTTTAGAGAACTCATTTGCAAATTATGGTGGGAAAAGAGTCTTTGGTCAATAACAAAAGTTCATCTGAATACTTACTGTTATACTGTTATATACCCTTGTTGGCAATGACAGAGCTCAAACGTTTTCTGTAAGTATTCACAAGGTTTTCACACACTGGTATTTTGACCCATTCCTCCATGTAGGTCTCCTCCAGAGCAGTGTCGTTTTGGGGCTGTCACTGACTTTCAACTCCCTCCAAAGATTCTCTATGGGGTTGAGATCCGGAGACTGGCGAGTCCACTCCAGGACCGTAGGCTCATTGTGGCAGCCCCCTCTGTCACAGTCGCCTCTAAATGTATTGAAATACTTGTTGAGTACTTGAAAGACCACATGTTTTCTCATCAAAGCTTGGTTTCTAACTTTCAAACCGCACACAATGAAGAGAGATAGACCTTTATTGTCCCCTGAGATAAATTCATTTACACACTCATTCATTTATGACATTGTCACATACTGTACATAGAAAGGAGAGGAAGGAAAATACACAATAAACAATGTCAATGGCAAGGCGAGTGGCAAGTTTATTTTCATACGCAAGGCAAAAAAACCTCATATAGAGTTGCACAAGGCATTTAAAGCAGAACTAAATCACAGGACATAAACAAAATGTAATGGTTAAATCAGACCTGATGGTAAAATATGGCTTTTTGATGTTACTTTGAAGAGTTTTTGAAGCCAGTTTTTGTTTGTCTTCTGTATTTTACACATTTATGGGCCGTGGTCATTGTAGAGTTTGATTAATATGGACAATCTCAACAACTTATAATATCTCCTCATTATTTCCTCTTTGTTATGATTGCTTTTTGATGGCTGGCATTGGAGACCGACGAAACCTTTACTTAGCCGTATACAAAGCAAGTATATTATCACGCAAAAATTCTGCGTGATAATTATATGTTTATTATTCTCCGATTTCAGATGTATGCAGCTAAAATCTGGAAACGTCTTCTTAAAAATGAGACAGGCTTCTACTCTGACAATATCAAATCCAGGTTAAAAACTGTTTTTGTTTAGCTGTGCATGCAACTGAAGGATTCTATCTCCACTCTTTCCAATGTACTGTGACTATTCATGATTTTAACGCCTAGTGTGAGTGTTTCTCCCATCTTGTTTTTGTTCAACACTTTGAGTCGCCTTGTGTATGAACCGCGCTACACAAAAAAACTCACCTCGCCTTGAACATCATCCAACGCAACTGTAGAGAAGCCGCGGATCACCGACACCATCCCGCATGCAAGGTTTGAGTAATTTCCCGTGCCACTTTGGACCCCAAACTTGGAATCTATCATCTCGGCGAGCCTACTTTTGAGACAAATATAATTACATCACTACGGCAACCGAATCACCTGTCATTTCCATCATAATGTCGGCGAACAAAGGCAGGCGGATAGAAACAGCCGCCTGTGATAAACAAGATGTGTCCGTGCGCTAAAACAATGGCTCATTCAGGGGATGGAACAGTGGCCTTCTCCCGTGCTACAGTCAGAGGGGACCGGGGCCACAATTCTCCATTATTCCATTATTCCATTATTCCAGTGGCTCTGTGAGGGTTTCAATGTGTGTGTGTGTGTGTGTGTGTGTGTTTTTGTATGTGTCCAGGCCTCATCAAGCACCATTATCTCCCCATCATTATCAATTCAGGTCGTACACAGGGAAAAAATGATCAAATGTGAGGTAATAATTGCTTGAATTGAGTGGTTTTTGTTTTAGTCTGAGCACATTCTGACTGTGTTAAAACAAGATTCTCCAACGGGACGAATCCGTTTAGTCTAATTACAAGAACTGTCACTTCATTTTCTCATTCCAAGGGAGACTTTTCTTGTATCTTTTTAAAACAAGACAATTTTGCTTTGTCCCATCGACAACTCGTTTTAAGGCTCAGTCTGAATGTGCTCAAATTAAGATACATTTTTACCAAATTTGATCAATTCTTTCATCACTTTTTTGCAGTGTGGAGGTGTATGTTTTGTTGAATTAAATGTATACTTTGTAATAAGTTTATTTATCTATTTATTTTATATATTTGTTTCTATTTTTCATTGTCTTTTTGTTTTTTGTTCTGTTTACAGAATAACAAGAGCAGAGGGAGTTGGAAGACTGGCATTGATCAAACCACCAACGCAAGACCGTCTTGCCTCACAGACTTAAAGCTGGGGTACCTAAGTGTAAAACCAGGATAAATGGAACTACTAGTTTCTAGCTTTCCAAACGGTTGGGTTTCCAACAGTCATGGCCAAATAATATTATGCTCATTTTATGACAACCATAATGTTAGCACGAAAGAGAATGAAATACAACAGCCATTCCCAAACTCAGTAACACCGAGGCCCCCTTAAAAATCTGACGGGTCTGCGTGGCCCCCCAAAATAATAACCAAGAAGACAACATTAAGAATAGGCTCTTCTGGTCATTTTATTTTGGGGAAATAGCCTCTGCTACAAACATTGTAATACAAAAATGATTACAGTGGATTATTCAAGTCAAATAATGAACACAAATATTTTAATATTACAAAAGAAACATTATAAATTTAACATTAAATAATTATATTTTATTTTGTATTTTTTTTATGACCTCCCGCGGCCCCCCTGCAGTACCCTCGCGGCCCACCAGGGGGCCGCGGACCCCACTTTGGGAGACACTGAAATACAAGATAGAGAATGTATTTTCCATTCACAACTACAGTGTAAATAGTCAGCGATTTTGTACTTGATTCTTGTTTCATCACTCTGCTAAAATTGGAGATAACAGATGTCTGCCTTAAGATGCTAAAGCTAGAATGTTTTTTTTTTTAGTATAGATTTAGACCACAGAGCCATACAGCTACAACATTAGCTGCAACATTAGCTACAACATTAGCTACAACATTAGCTACAACATTAGCTACAACATTAGCTACAACATTAGCTACAACATGATTTTATTAGCCGCAACCATGGGGAAAAAAACATTATTAGAACCGATATCTTCCTTTCTTTGATTCTAACAGAGGAATAGCTGCCGATAGTGACATGGAATTTTTGTGGAATATTCCAAGTGCAAAACTCATCTGGAAAGCCATTTAAATGTTCCCAGTTGCGCTAAGCATTCTGAGAGGAAAGATACGATGGCATTGGGCTGTTTTTCTCTCTCTTTATTCCCACATGGAGCAGAGATTTTTAATTAAATTTAATGAAAAGGCGCAACAAGGACAATCTTTGATCTGAAAAACTGTGGAATAAAAACATACGAGAGAGCGGGACTTCTGAAGCTGTTTCACTGCAAAAAAGCTTTCATTTAAAACACAGAGAAAGAGAACAGATATATACAGTGTGCGATTTAGTGAAGGTGCAGGATTACAAATAAACACATGTTGAAGCCACACTCTGGAACATTCTATCACTCACAAATATGTACAGTATCTCATGATTAAGAAGCTATTTTCAGCAATATATTTGTATTTATTTTTTTATTTATTTGAATTAGGACAGTGCACATTAATCAACACGTCAGCCAAAAGCATCAATGTAAATGTACCAGAATTAGCGTGAGAGCTAAATTGAATTCAATGATGTTTGTCGATGCATTAAAGAAACTTAGGTACCCTGTCTTTAACTGGCCATTATAAAGTATTTGTTCCTTTTTATATAATGCTTTAACACAACTACAAACAATATTCAGATGAGTTTAAATTTAAATAAATATTTGGACGTGTATTTTTAAGTATAAAAAGTTCATCAAATCCAAGTGAAATTAGTTAGCCAAACTCTTTCCATGATTTTTTATAGTTTTTTTATCTTTGCACTTTGCACTTTACAGACGTCCCACTGTGGCACCTGGTGTTCCCAAAGGTCTCCCATCACAGTCCTAACCAGACCCTACCCTACTTAGCTTCAAAGAGAGAATCTGGATTTAGCATGCAAGATAAGACTATTATTAAATGGTAACAAATATAAGAATGTTAGTTATGTACAACTAAAAAGTGAATATAAAATAAAATAACTGCATAAACTTTGTTGTTGCCATGGCGATCCCTGTCTCTCTGCTTCTCACATGGTACCAGGTCTCTCTGCTTCTCACATGGTATCCGCCGTGCCCACATACATGTACTTCTCTCAGTAATTACCAGGTCACGGCGGCGAATTAATGGCAGGAGCGAACAACTGTAATCACAATTAGGCCGAGCGCTAACAAGGCAGCGTGATTAACAATTTGAACTTATTATAACAAGGACCCTTCAATTAATACCTGGCTCCGGGCGCGGTGTGGAGACGCTGATACTGAGAGACTGAGACGCTGAGACTGAGACGCTGAGACTGAGACGCTGAGACTGAGATGCTGAGACTGAGACGCTGATACTGAGACGCTGATACTGAGACGCTGAGACTGAGACGCTGAGACTGAGATGCTGAGACTGAGACGCTGAGACTGAGACGCTGATACTGAGACGCTGATACTGAGACGCTGAGACTGAGACGCAGATACTGAGACGCTGAGACTGAGACGCTGAGACTGAGACGCTGAGACTGAGACGCAGATACTGAGACGCAGCTACTGAGACGCTGAGACTGAGACGCAGATACTGAGACGCAGCTACTGAGACGCTGATAGTGAGACGCAGATACTGAGACGCAGCTACTGAGACGCTGATAGTGAGACGCAGATACTGAGACGCAGATACTGAGACGCAGATACTGAGAAGAAGATACTGAGACGCTGATACTGAGACGCAGAGACTGAGACGCTGAGACGCAGAGACTGAGACGCTGAGACTGAGACGCTGAGACTGAGACGCTGAGACTGAGACGCTGAGACTGAGACGCTGAGACTGAGACGCTGAGACTGAGACGCAGATACTGAGACGCTGAGACTGAGACGCTGAGACTGAGACGCAGAGACTGAGACGCTGAGACTGAGACGCTGAGACTGAGACGCTGAGACTGAGACGCTGAGACTGAGACGCTGAGACTGAGACGCTGAGACTGAGACGCAGAGACTGAGACGCTGAGACTGAGACCCAGATACTGAGACGGTGAGACTGAGACGCTGAGACGCTGTTACTGAGACGCTGAGACTGAGACGCTGATACTGAGACGCTGAGACTGAGACGCAGATACTGAGACGCTGAGACTGAGACGCTGAGACTGAGACGCTGAGACGCAGAGACTGAGACGCTGAGACTGAGACGCTGAGACTGAGACGCTGAGACTGAGACGCTGAGACTGAGACGCTGAGACTGAGACGCTGAGACTGAGACGCAGATACTGAGACGCAGAGACTGAGACGCTGAGACTGAGACGCAGATACTGAGACGCAGCTACTGAGACGCAGATACTGAGAAGAAGATACTGAGACGCTGATACTGAGACGCAGAGACTGAGACGCTGAGACGCAGAGACTGAGACGCTGAGACTGAGACGCTGAGACTGAGACGCTGAGACTGAGACGCTGAGACTGAGACGCTGAGACTGAGACGCTGAGACGCTGAGACTGAGACGCAGATACTGAGACGCAGAGACTGAGACGCTGAGATTGAGACGCTGAGACTGAGACGCTGAGACTGAGACGCAGATACTGAAACGCTGAGACTGAGACGCTGAGACTGAGACGCTGAGACTGAGACGCAGATACTGAGACTGAGACGCTGAGACTGAGACGCTGAGACTGAGACGCTGAGACTGAGACGCAGATACTGAGACGCTGAGACTGAGACGCTGATACTGAGACGCTGAGACTGAGACGCTGAGACTGAGACGCAGATACTGAGACGCTGAGACTGAGATGCTGAGACTGAGATGCTGAGACTGAGACGCTGAGACTGAGACGCTGAGACTGAGACCCAGATACTGAGACGCTGAGACTGAGACGCTGAGACTGAGACCCAGATACTGAGACGGTGAGACTGAGACGCTGAGACGCTGTTACTGAGACGCTGAGACTGAGACGCAGATACTGAGACGCTGATACTGAGACGCTGATACTGAGACGCTGATACTGAGACGCAGAGACTGAGACGCAGATACTGAGACGCTGAGACTGAGACGCTGAGACTGAGACCCAGATACTGAGACGGTGAGACTGAGACGCTGAGACTGAGACGCTGTTACTGAGACGCTGAGACTGAGACGCAGATACTGAGACGCTGAGACTGAGACGCTGATACTGAGACGCTGATACTGAGACGCTGAGACTGAGACGCAGATACTGAGACGCTGAGACTGAGACGCTGAGACTGAGACGCAGATACTGAGACGCAGATACTGAGACGCTGATACTGAGACGCTGAGACTGAGACGCTGAGACTGAGACCCAGATACTGAGACTGTGGGACTGAGACGCTGAGACTGAGACGCTGTTACTGAGACGCTGAGACTGAGGCGCTGATACTGAGACGCTGATACTGAGACGCTGAGACTGAGACGCAGATACTGAGACGCTGAGACTGAGACGCTGAGACTGAGACGCAGATACTGAGACGCTGAGACTGAGATGCTGAGACTGAGATGCTGAGACTGAGACGCAGATACTGAGACGCAGAGACTGAGACGCTGAGACTGAGACGCTGAGACTGAGACGCTGAGACTGAGACGCTGAGACTGAGACCCAGATACTGAGACGGTGAGACTGAGACGCTGAGACGCTGTTACTGAGACGCTGAGACTGAGACGCAGATACTGAGACGCTGATACTGAGACGCTGATACTGAGACGCTGATACTGAGACGCAGAGACTGAGACGCAGATACTGAGACGCTGAGACTGAGACGCTGAGACTGAGACCCAGATACTGAGACGGTGAGACTGAGACGCTGAGACTGAGACGCTGTTACTGAGACGCTGATACTGAGATGCTGAGACTGAGACGCTGATACTGAGACGCTGAGACTGAGACGCTGAGACTGAGACGCAGATACTGAGACGGTGAGACTGAGACGCAGATACTGAGACGCTGAGACTGAGACGCTGATACTGAGATGCTGAGACTGAGACGCTGATACTGAGACGCTGAGACTGAGACGCTGAGACTGAGACGCAGATACTGAGACGCTGAGACTGAGATGCTGAGACTGAGATGCTGAGACTGAGACGCTGAGACTGAGACGCTGATACTGAGATGCTGAGACTGAGACGCAGATACTGAGACGCTGAGACTGAGACGCTGAGACTGAGACGCAGATACTGAGACGCAGATACTGAGACGCTGATACTGAGACGCTGAGACTGAGACGCTGAGACTGAGACCCAGATACTGAGACTGTGGGACTGAGACGCTGAGACTGAGACGCTGTTACTGAGACGCTGAGACTGAGGCGCTGATACTGAGACGCTGATACTGAGACGCTGAGACTGAGACGCAGATACTGAGACGCTGAGACTGAGACGCTGAGACTGAGACGCAGATACTGAGACGCTGAGACTGAGACGCTGATACTGAGACGCAGATACTGAGACGCTGAGACTGAGATGCTGAGACTGAGACGCAGATACTGAGACGCTGAGACTGAGACGTTGAGACTGAGACGCAGATACTGAGACGCTGAGACTGAGACGCTGAGACTGAGACGCTGAGACTGAGACGCTGAGACGCTGAGACTGAGACGCTGAGACTGAGACTTAGATACTGAGACGCAGATACTGAGACGCTGAGACTGAGATGCTGAGACTGAGATGCTGAGACTGAGACGCAGATACTGAGACGCTGAGACTGAGGCGCTGAGACTGAGAACTGCTGAGACTTTGTTGTTGCGGCGGCGGAGAAGCCGAAGTGTCAGGGCTTTAATCTAAGGTATTTATATCTGTCTTTGAGCGGGACACAAATACATGTAATTATAATACATTAAAGAGAGGAGAGAGAGAACAGAGAGAGGGAGACCAGAGAGAGGCCCAAGAGAGAGACCAGAGAGAGAGACCAGAAAGCGACCAGAGAGAGACCAGAGAGTCACTGCTTTTGTCCGAGGTATTTATATCTATATTTGAGCGGGACACAAACACACACACACACACACATGTAATTAGAATACATGAAAGAGCGGGGAGAAGAGAGTGCAGTGCATGATGAAAGAAGTGTTTTCTTTTGGAAGATTTGTTAATTTATGTATTTGTTTATTTGATATGGACACAACAGCGACTTTGGGAAGACCAGGCGCACTGTGACTATAGTGTTAAAGCAAGACCAGGCCAGAAACTAGATAAAAAAAGAGAGCAGAGAGAGAGACCTGAGAGAGACCACATACAGTAGAACCCAGAGAGAGACAAGTGAGAGACCAGAGAGAAACCAGCTGGAGACCAGAGAAAGACCACAGATAGACTGAGACCGGAGAGTGAGAGACAAGAGAAAGATCAGAGAGAGAGAGAGACCAGATAGAAACCAGAGAGACTAGAGAAAAACAGAGACAAGAGGGACAAGAGAAAGATCAAAGAGACCTGAGAGAGACCAGAGAAAGACCAGATAGAATCCAGAGAGAGACAAGAGAGATACCAGCAAGAGAGACCAGAGAAAGACCAGACAGAATCAAGAGAGAGACAAGAGAGATACCAGCAAGAGAGACCAGAGAAAGACCATTATTAATCAATGTGACATGCCCATACTTCGCCTTATACTAGTTTTTTGTTCATCATTGTTAATTTCAGATTAGTTGTTGATTTTTCTGGTACCCGTCAGTCCAGTCCTAGCACCGGGTCCATGGTCCTCGGCCTCCTCTGTGTGATCCTCATTACAGACTGATCTATGTCCGTGCAGCGGCTGCCTCTTCCTGTGCCTTTGATTAGGGATAATTATTACTGCGCTGATTCGAACTGGTTTCCTGAGACATTATTTACGTCTTGAGAAAACCACTAATAAATCTCTCTGAGTTTTTCTGCAATGAGCCAAGAGTCTGCAGACATGTTTGTATTAAAACCATGATTACATTCAAGGAAAAACAGACTTGCTGATAATAAATCTATTTGTTTTTGTAAGACGATGTCAATTTGATCATTCTTTTTTTTTCTATTTAAAGGAGAGAGACTAGAGAGAGACCAGAGAGAGAGCCCAGAGAGATATGCTATTGCTGGGTTGCACCTGACGTCACGCAGCAGCGTGAGAATGCTCCGAGGGACAGGAAGTAAATCTCCCCATTAGGAACAATGTAAAAATTCACTGATTTCGAGTCAAAATGCTCTTTTTCTGTGGCTTGTACAGTTGTGGCATGTGCTCATATCAAGTGGGGAACTCATGGAGTCTCTATTTCGCTAACATTTATTTCACTAACAGGTTTTGATTTTTAGGAAAATGCCTAATAAGGAACAGGAGAAATGCGTTAGCATTAGCATTAGCCTGCGTAGCATCTGCGGCCGCAGAGATCGCTGACAGTCCACAGTCTTTACTTTGCTGACTTTCATCGATACAATGCAGTATTTTTGTGTAGTATACGATTGTAGTAACCGAAGGAACAGAGAGAAAGAACTCTTAAATACATGTTTTAATGCCAAAAGTTGTCTCAAACCAACATGTACATGTGTAACAAAGCTAATAGTAGGCTTTACAATCAGTCGTCTCACATATAATCTATCCATTGTGTTCATCGTTATTCCCACGACTGTGAGGACCAGGGTCTGGGACTGTGAGGACCAGGGTCTGGGACTGTGAGGACCAGGGTCTGGGACTGTGAGGACCAGGGTCTTGGACTGTGAGGACCAGGGTCTGGGACTGTGAGGACCAGGGTCTGGGACTGTGAGGACCAGGGTCTGAGACTGTGAGGACCAGGGTCTGAGACTGTGAGGACCAGGGTCTGGGACTGTGAGGACCAGGGTCTGGGACTGTGAGGACCAGGGTCTGGGACTGTGAGGACCAGGGTCTGGGACTGTGAGGACCAGGGTCTGGGACTGTGAGGACCAGGGTCTGGGACTGTGAGGACCAGGGTCTGGGACTGTGAGGACCAGGGTCCTGGGACTGTGAGGACCAGGGTCTGAGACTGTGAGGACCAGGGTCTGAGGCTGTGAGGACCAGGGTCTGAGACTGTGAGGACCAGGGTCTGAGGCTGTGAGGACCAGGGTCTGAGACTGTGAGGACCAGGGTCTGGGACTGTGAGGACCAGGGTCTGAGACTGTGAGGACCAGGGTCTGGGACTGTGAGGACCAGGGTCTGGGACTGTGAGGACCAGGGTCTGAGACTGTGAGGACCAGGGTCTGGGACTGTGAGGACCAGGGTCTGGGACTGTGAGGACCAGGGTCTGAGACTGTGAGGACCAGGGTCTGAGACTGTGAGGACCAGGGTCTGAGACTGTGAGGACCAGGGTTCTGAGACTGTGAGGACCAGGGTCTGGGACTGTGAGGACCAGGGTCTGAGACTGTGAGGACCAGGGTCTGAGACTGTGAGGACCAGGGTCTGAGACTGTGAGGACCAGTTGGACTGTGAGGACCAGGGTCTGTGACTGTGAGGACCAGGGTCTGGGACTGTGAGGACCAGGGTCTGGGACTGTGAGGACCAGGGTCTGAGACTGTGAGGACCAGGGTCTGAGACTGTGAGGACCAGGTCTGAGACTGTGAGGACCAGGGTCTGAGGCTGAAGTTTTATCCGATCTCTGTGCTCCCCGGACGGCTGGGTTTACTGCAGCCCCCGCTGTTAGCTGAACGCTGTTAGCGTAACGCTGTTAGCGTAACGCTGTTAGCTGAACGCTGTTAGCGTAACGCTGTTAGCTTAACGCTGTTAGCGTAACGCTGTTAGCTTAACGCTGTTAGCGTAACGCCGTTAGCGTAACGCTGTTAGCTTAACGCTACGGAGCTCCCCCCGGAGAATAAGTCCAAACTTTATGTCGTTTACAGCTCAACAAATCACCAAAATGACAAAGGGTCATTTTTCTCGCCTCAAATGTTAAAAGTAACGTTTGTGCCATATTTATTGTATTATTGATGAGAGCTATCGTCTCAGACGTGGTTCTGTCGATCCCAGAGTGACTCCACTGTCGTCACTGTAACAGCTTTAATCCTCCTCATTGTTGAAAAAATGGTCTCAGTCAAACTCTACAAGGCGTGCGCTGCATTAAAATAGTTTTCACTCAAAATAAGAGTGATACTAATGTGAGATTTCATAACACTTTGAAGCAACTTTTGTTAAAGTTAAACTCATCATTCTATCAATGTGCATAAGCCTGTACTTTTCCCTTGTTGTGTCTATCTGAAGGCCAAGCTACATGGCACTGTGGCAGCTGCTGATTGGAGGTCTCCATGCCTCCGCTCTGTATAATACACTTGCATTCTATTGTATCTGTTGTTCGTGCTGTCTCTACCATCGACAATAAAACATGTCTTCTGTCTGAATTTAAAGACGCGATCCCAGACTATGTCATCTTCTTCACTAAGCCACAAAAAGCTCCTGTGTGTCCGTTTTCCCCAAGCCCCGGCGATCCAAGATGGCGACGTATTCAAATGAACGGTTGTGCTCAGTGGCGCTTTGTGACGGCACGGGCGCTGAAAGATTAGCAGAAGTTGCCTGGAACTCACAAAGCGTGTGTGTGTGTGTGTCCAGAGGCTGCAGACAGAGTGTATAACCTGATGTGTGTGTGTGTGTGTGTGTGTGTGTGTGTGTGTGTCCAGAGGCTGCAGACAGAGTGTATAACCTGATGTGTGTGTGTGTGTGTGTGTGTGTGTGTGTGTGTGTGTCCAGAGGCTGCAGAGTCAGAGTGTATAACCTGATGTGTGTGTGTGTGTGTGCGTGTGTGTGTGTGTCCAGAGGCTGCAGACAGAGTGTATAACCTGATGTGTGTGTGTGTGTGTGCGTGTGTGTGTGTGTCCAGAGGCTGCAGACAGAGTGTATAACCTGATGTGTGTGTGTGTGTGTGTGTGTGTGTGTGTGTATGTGTGTGTGTGCGTGTGTGTGTGTGTCCAGAGGCTGCAGACAGAGTGTATAACCTGATGTGTGTGTGTGTGTGTGCGTGTGTGTGTGTGTCCAGAGGCTGCAGACAGAGTGTATAACCTGATGTGTGTGTGTGTGTGTGTGTGTGTGTGTGTGTGTGTGTGTGTGTGTGTGTGTGTGTGAAAGAGGCCAGGGGAGAGGGGAGGGGAGGGTGACAGGTGCCGCTGTTCGGGCCAGGGAGAAGGAAGGGAGTTTGGTATCGGGTCGGGCGTGCGGTTATTTATCGGTCCTGCTCGTTGTGTTTTGCCACTTGTTCTGAAGCCTCTTGTTCCTTTGTTTTCCTGTCCCTCTTCTATTTTGTTCTCTAACATTTTGTTTCCCTTTGCTGCGCGTGTTCTCGTTCTTTCTTCAGGGTATTCTCTACGCGGCTTCTTAGGTCCTGTTGTGTGTGATTGTCTCTGTGTATGTGCGTGTCTCTCTCTGTCTCTATGTGTGTGTCGTCGTGGGCGTGTTCTGGGCGGGCCTGCGGCTGAGGTGGGTCGTCGTTTGCGGTTCTGTTGGGGTGGGCGTATTTATGATGAGGGGTACAATTGTGGGTGGGATGATTTGGGTGTCTGAGGTGGTCGGTGGAGCGCCGGGAGGGGTTGAGGAGTGGGGGAGGAGAGAGTGGCGGGGCGGGGGGGGTGTAAGTGGTAGAGGGGGTGGCGAGAAGGCAGATGGATGGGGAGGATCGGGAGAGGGCAGCTGCGGGTGTTGAGGTTGTGGTGTGGGCGTGGTGATAATGCAGGTAGGATGACAAAGCTGGGAGGGGAAGACGGGGGGTTGCTGGTGTGGTTGTGGATGGGGGCGGGGTTTAGTGTTGGAGGTTGGCTCGAGATGGTTTGCGGCTGCTTAGGTTGTGGTCGCCGCGGGGGTACGTAGCGAAAGGTGCAGGGGGTAAAGGGTTGAGGGGGGCAGTCGTGTTGGGGTTATGAGACAGGGGGCGGGCGAGGTGTCGGAGTACTTGTTAGAGCGGAGGGTGGCAACGCAGCGAGTCGGTGGCTAGTGGGTTTTGGGAGTCGGGAGTGTGGGTACGAGGGGTGTGGAGATTGGAGGGGTGGGGGGGGCGGTTAGTGGTGTTCTGTTTGCCTCTTCGTTTTGTTCTCGGTTGTGCCGGAGATCTTGTCTTGTTGCTTTTCGGATATGGGAGGTGGTTGGGGTGGTAGCGAAGGGTTGGTACGGTGTTTTGTGGGCGGGTGTCGATGAGGGGCATTCTTTTTTTTCTCCTGTTCTTTTATGGTTTGTTACTCGCGGCAAGAATATGCTATGTTACTTCTATTTTGTGGCTTTGTATGATTGTTACAGTTCATTTGTAGTGCGTTCTGTGTGTGTGTGTGTGTGTGTGGTGTAGTTGCTTGTCGTGGGGTGGTTCGATTAGGTGTGTGTGGTGGGGGGGAGTACTGGACCTATGTTTTACACTTTTTCTTGTTTTGGTTAGGCTTGTCTAGTGTTCGTGCTTTGTCTTGCGTCGGCGTGAGTCTTTCGCTTCTATTTTTTTTTTTATCGGCTCTTTTCACTTTTTCAGCCTTTTTAGTTATTGTTGGTTTTATGTTGTTCTCATGTTCTTCCATATAACGTGGTTTTGTCAGATTCTTCTCGTTATCTAGCGTTTTCCCTCTTTGTGTGTGATTGTCTCTGTGTATGTGCGTGTCTCTCTCTGTCTCTCTGTGTGTGTCCATTTGTATCAACACAACTTTGTGCAGTGACAGAAACATGGCAGGAGGCTGCAGCTCCGTCAAAACAACAGCCGAGGTCCCAAAGAGAAGGATCCAACCGTCTCCAAAACAACGGCACTAATAATCACAGTTCCACTCGCTTCCTTCCAACCACAAAACTCTCAATTACGGTTTGATTTCAGTGCGTTATGTTTTTGAGCACGCAAGACAAGAACCAAAATCTACAAAGGAGGTGGAGATGGAGGAGATTTGGATTTGATCAAAGCTGCCAGAGGATGAGCTGACACATGACCACACCACCACTGGAACATGCAGAATTGTTAGGAGTATCTTAGAGTGTCTTGGTGACCGACAATAGTTAATGTCGGTTGCCATTGACAACACAGAAAGCCATTGATATTAATAGAATTGACAATAATTTTGCTCTTAAATACTACAACTACTAAGTCTACTCGTTCTACAGTCTGAGTTTGTGTATGTTGTGTCTCCTCTAGTAAGAATTCTAAAGCCAGATCCCGTCACACCTCTGAGGCTAAGCTAGACCGGGCCTGGTTAGTATTGTGAAGGGAGACCTGAGATGGACAGACCACCCAACTTCTGGAACATTCATAATTATTAGGAATATCTCAGAGTTTTCTTGGTCATAATTACTTCAGTAAGACTTGAGTAATGTGTGTGTTTCAATCAGTGGTTACTTTTCAAAGCCCATGAGAGAGTTTATTATCGTTTACATTCAACATAGGTTCAAATCCAATCCATAATGTTACAGCATAGTCTCCAAAGCATAAGTGATTATTTCAATAAGTAAATAACACTCAGGTTGGAATCCAGGTTCCGTGCATGTAAGGAACAAAACAAGTCAAAGTTTTCCATTATAGCAAAACATTTACGTATATATTGACTACACATAGAAGGTAGAACCATATCACATGTTAGTGCCATAAAAACCGACTGGGACTGGCTTCCTGCTGGTGCCCAGAGTCAGAACTAAACATGGGGAGTCTTCCAAAAAATGTGAGACAGGCTTCTTCTCTGACAATCTTCAAATCCAGGTTAAAACAGTCTTTTTAGCTGCAAACAACTGCAGGATTTTAACTATATATAACTATCTTTTTGACTGTTTCTATCTTGTTTCGTTCAGCACTTTGAGTTGCCTTGCCTTGGATTGTGCATATTCTTCTTTTAATAATGCATTTTATATAGTTTTTATAGATTAGTGAACCCAAATCTGAATAAAAAAACATCAATCAAAGATAAATCATGTCAGGGTTTGGGATAGGATATTCCCTGGTGGCTTTTCTTCTTCTCGGTCGTCGCATTTGGTCCGGTTGGGTCCGGTTTGTGGCCTGTGACAGCAATTTCTCCGTGAGAGCAGGGGACAGCGGTCGTCAGCCTCCAGAGTGACAGGTCCTGGGCGCCCGGAGCTGTTCCCGCGGACATGTTAAAGGACCTGTCATGCACCGCGGATTATCCCAGCCACCTGTAGTCTGCGTCTGGGTTCAGGAGAGGCCAGATGAGTTCACAGCAGAGGAGGAGGAGGAGGAGGAGGAGGAAGAGGAGGGAGGTGGGAGGTGGTCAGGTGAGGACACGGCACTAAGGAGGCGCTAAAAAGTGAGCGTGTCATCGGTGATAAGGCACCGGAGGGAAGGGAGGCGGAGGTGAGGTGATGGTGAGTGATCCATCTGGGGCCAATGCTAATGTATGTGTGTTGCCGTGGCGATGAGTCAAACAGACATGGCCGAAAGTCAACAATATGCTAAAGTACATGGGGAACCGTCATATAATCAGATTTCTGACGTCCAAAGCCACAATCTACGATTCAAAGCCACTGATTTCATTTCTATTTGTATTTATTCACAGTCTTCTATCATCAGTCTATTCCAGAATATTAAAAAAAACACCAACAGTTTTTGAATGATCATAAAAAAAATCTTTGATGCTTTAGACGTGCTTCAAGACCACTTTTAGTCCCAACCCTAATATTGCTTTAAGCCTACTTTTGTCCCTTCTTTATTTCCTTCTTTAGTCCTGCTTTAGTCCTGCTTTAGACCGGCTTTAGACCTGCTTTAGACTTGCTTTAGACTTGCTTTAGACCTGCTTTAGACTTGCTTTAGACTTGCTTTAGTCCTGCTTTAGTCCTGCTTTAGACCTGCTTTAGACTGCTTTAGTCCTGCTTTAGACCTGCTTTAGACCTGCTTTAGATCCTGCTTTAGACCTGCTTTAGACCTGCTTTAGACCTGCTTTAGACCTGCTTTAGACCTGCTTAGGACATGCTTTAGACCTGCTTTAGACCTGCTTTAGACCTGCTTTAGTCCTGCTTTAGACCTGCTTTAGACCTGCTTTAGACCTGCTTTAGTCCTGCTTTAGACCTGCTTTAGACCTGCTTTAGACCTGCTTTAGACCTGCTTTAGACCTGCTTAGACTTGCTTTAGACCTGCTTTAGACTGCTTTAGACCTGCTTTAGACCTGCTTTGGACCTGCTTTAGTACCTGCTTTAGTCCTGCTTTAGACCTGCTTTAGACCTGCTTTAGACCTGCTTTAGTTGTGCTTTAGACCTGCTTTAGACCTGCTTTAGACCTGCTTTAGACCTGCTTTAGACCTGCTTTAGACCTGCTTTAGACCTGCTTTAGACCTGCTTTAGACCTGCTTTAGTCCTGCTTTAGACCTGCTTTGATCTGCTTTTAGACCTGCTTTAGACCTGCTTTAGACCTGCTTTAGACCTGCTTTAGTCCTGCTTTAGACCTGCTTTAGACCTGCTTTAGACCTGTCTTTAGACCTGCTTTAGACCTGCTTTAGACCTGCTTAGACCTGCTTTAGACATGCTTTAGTCTGCTTTAGACCTGCTTTAGACCTGCTTTAGACCTGCTTTAGACCTGCTTTAGTCCTGCTTTAGACCCTGCTTTAGACCTGCTTTAGACCTGCTTTAGACCTGCTTTAGACCTGCTTTAGACCTGCTTTAGACCTGCTTTAGACCTGCTTTAGACCTGCTTTAGACCTGCTTTAGTCCTGCTTTAGTCCTGCTTTAGACCTGCTTTAGACCTGCTTTAGACCTGCTTTAGACCTGCTTTAGACCTGCTTTAGACCTGCTTTAGACCTGCTTTAGACCTGCTTTAGCTTTTAGACCTGCTTTAGACCTGCTTTAGACCTGCTTTAGTCCTGCTTTAGTCCTGCTTTAGACCTGCTTTAGACCTGCTTTAGACCTGCTTTAGTCCTGCTTTAGACCTGCTTTAGACCTGCTTTAGACCTGCTTTAGACCTGCTTAGTCCTGCTTTAGACCTGCTTTAGACTGCTTTAGTCCTGCTTTAGATCCTGCTTTAGACCTGCTTTAGTCCTGCTTTAGACCTGCTATAATCCTGCTTTAGTCCTGCTTTAGTCCTGCTTTAGACCTGCTTTAGACCTGCTTTAGACCTGCTTAAGTCCTGCTTTAGCCTGCTTTAGACCTGCTTTAGTACCTGCTTTAGTCCTGCTTTAGTCCTGCTTTAGACCTGCTTTAGTCCTGCTTTAGACCTGCTTTAGACCTGCTTTAATCCTGCTTTAGACCTGCTTTAGACCTGCTTTAGTCCTGCTTTAGTCCTGCTTTAGTCCTGCTTTAGACCTGCTTTAGTCCTGCTTTAGACCTGCTTTAGACCTGCTTTAGTCCTGCTTTAGACCTGCTTTAGACCTGCTTTAGTCCTGCTTTAGTCCTGCTTTAGACCTGCTTTAGTCCTGCTTTAGACCTGCTTGAGACCTGCTTTAGACCTGCTTTAGACCTGCTTTTTAGACCTGCTTTAGACCTGCTTTAGACTGCTTTAGTCCTGCTTTAGTCCTGCTTTTGACCTGCTTTAGACCTGCTTTAGACTGCTTTAGACCTGCTTTAGACCTGCTTTAGACCTGCTTTAGACCTGCTTTAGTCTGCTTTAGTCCTGCTTTAGTCCTGCTTTAGTCCTGCTTTAGACCTGCTTTAGACCTGCTTTAGACCTGCTTTAGACCAGTTTCAGACCTGCTTTAGACCTGCTTTAGATCTGTTTTAGTCCTGCTTTAGTCCTGCTTTAGACCTGCTTTAGTCCTGCTTTAGTCCTGCTTTAGACCTGCTTTAGTCCTGCTTTTGTCATGTTTTAGTCCTGCTTTAGACCTGTTTTAGACCTGCTTTAGTACTGCTTTAGACCTACTTTGGTCCTGATTTAGTCCTGCGTTTTAGTCCCTGCTTTAGACCTGCTTTAGTCCTGCTTTAGACCTGCTTTAGTCCTGCTTTAGACCTGCTTTAAACCTGCTTTAGACCTGCTTTAGACCTGCTTTAGTCCTGCTTTAGTCCTGCTTTAGACCTGCTTTAGACCTGCTTTAGACCTGCTTTAGACCTGCTTTAGACCTGCTTTAGACCTCCTTTAGGCCTGCTTTCGGACCTGCTTTAGTCCTGCTTTAGTCCTGCTTTAGTCCTGCTTTAGACCTGCTTTAGTCCTGCTTTAGTCCTGCTTTAGACCTGCTTTAGTCCTGCTTCAGACCTGCTTTAGTCCTGCTTTAGTCCTGCTTCAGACCTGCTTTAGTCCTGCTTTAGTCCTGC